GCTGCTGCCGCCACTGCTTCTGATTCCACAGGCACCTTCCAAAGTCATGAGCATGCATACATACTGCACTCTAATCCCCAGCTGCTCCATAGGGACCAATCCTGTTAGAGGACTCCTCTGCTGACTCTGGAGCTTTTCAGGAGGTGTGCTAAAGGAGGGTTTGGGAGGACGCATAAGTGATCCCTGGACAGCGTGAAGGTATAACTTATGTATACAAGCTTTAAGGTGACAAGAGACTACCATTACGTTTATATTACAAACCTAACTGCTCAATTCTACATTTTTGCTCATATCGAAACCAATGGGGAACCCTCAGGGCCTTCTAGGTGTTCAGATGAAGTCTAATGATTTCTGCCATCATAATTCTTGTTGTATTTGAACGCTGCAAGTACTGTAGTTAACATTCGTATCTCATTGTTAAGTTTTGGTCAGAAACAATAGGGTTAAAATCTTGAACTGGAAAACTGTCCAATTAGAATATTTCCACTGTGATATCTAGGCAGATAAAGCTAAGCTAGCTCTCCCACTGAAGCTGGACGCAAATGGACTGGACTAAAGACCTTACACGTTAGATTAACTACCAACATAACATACTAAGTGACAGTGGAATCAGCCAATCATATTTTGATATACAATGGGTGAGAACATTTTTTGGGGGGGAAAAAACATCACTCTAGTCCTCTAGACTAGTTCTAGATACATCACTGACAGTGAATATGAACACAGTGTTGCTTTTTAAAAATTCTATTAGTTCATTCATCATGAAATGTTCACACAATGTAAAAGGCAGCTAGGCTTTTCAAATAGTTTAAATAAACCTGAACAATGTAGTTACAAAAAAAGTTTTTCTTATGACAGTGACTGTATGCAAAGCTGTAGCTGGGCCATTGTTTGAAAGGTCCAGGTGTTCCCTGCCAGTATACCAGCCTTCACACAAACATAAGTACATCAGTCTTAAGGACAGCGAGTAGAAATCTGTCTATAGAAACAGAAATCGAGTCACTGAACCACAGAAGGGGGGGTGGATGAGGTAAAGAGAGGAAGAAAAAAATCACTTTTGATTTGAAGTGAACAGCCAGCATATGCCACCCAGCATTGGTCTTTCTTCCCCGCGTGTCACAGATGTTAGGATAAAAGCCGATGCCTCCGTGGAGCTGGATCAATTATGCATATTCCTTAATCTCGTTACAATCATATGCCAGGACTTCTGATGCAGCGCAGTGCTGGCTGTGCTAATCGTACTAATATCTCCCTCTCTCTCTTCCTCTCTTTACCTTTCCCCACATGCAAACACACACACACAATATTCTAAACAGCAGACTCTCCTGAGCCATCATAAACGCATCCCCCACTCTATCTCTCTTACACACACACAGCTGAAACCCCTCCTCTGTGCTGTCACCGGGCCAGGCTGTGGTGGCACCCAGACGCTCTCTCTCTCTTCAGAAGCTGTCTTTGTGCTGGCAGGGCACACACAGGGTGAGGCTGGGAAGCCCCCCATCGGTGGGCTCTGTGCCCAGGCCCCTGGCGCCTCCTCCCCTCCCCCTTCCCCACCACAGGGCCCAGGATTAGGTCACGGAGGAGTGTGATCAATGCACCTTTGATCAGAAGGCTCCTGTGAGTGCTGACAGGCAGTTTGGATCGGCTATTGTTAGCGGCCATCGACAGGCCTGTATGGATCGTGCTGCGCTCTGTCACTCTCCAGTGTGGACGTCTGCAATTTTTAAAGGTCACGTTTCCGTCTCCTCCGACCCCTCTCCTTCCTTCTTTGTTTCTCTTTAGAGTAGACCACTCATCTTCTCGCTCTTTTTGGTTCCTCTGTCATGGAAAGCTTGTAGCCAATGATGTTTTGTTGCATAAATTCTATGAAAGAACGTCCAAAGGAGTAGTGTTCTGGAGCTCTGTTGTACTGTGTCAAGTTTCTTTCTTTTTGTTCAGATTTCTCCAGGAAAAACTGGTTGTGCAGCAAAAAGTATGATAAGACTTATTTGCAAAGCCCACTGAAGATGGTTTGTAGGTGCTTATCTTGCTTTTAACTTACATTCAACTAAATATCAATTTCCTAACCTCAATCCAAAACCTAAACTTAACCCAAACACCGCTAAGAATCAACTGAGCTTCACCAGAGAGTTTGTTAATAAATTGGACATTTTTAGATAAATTGTTGGGGGCTATCCAAATCAAGTGGGACCAAAAGTAGTTACATTGAGTTGTATCGAACACATTTTGTGTACTGATCCATTTTACCTGGTCATTTTTACCAAAACATATTTTTACAAACGTGTGGGGCTACTTACTAGCAATAGTAGTAATAATTAACACCAAATAAATAGTTAAAGAACTTCTAATGTGTGAGCTTTGATGAATTAAAAATGCCTGGTTTAATAGGCAGCAGTTTGGTATTCATACTTACAGCATCATAATGAAGCAGCAAGTGATATTTTGCTAACTTCAGGCAACAGGTGGAGCTACAACAGTGGTTTAAATATAAAAAATAGCTGTACCTTGTAAACCTGACAAAAACATCATAAGTATAAAAATAGTATTGCTATTTTGCAAAATTATTTTCACGGAAAGTATCAGCAAGGTGGGTAAAAAATAAGACATATGATACATAACAGCAAATATAAATGAAAATAAGTGATATTAAAATGAGCACTGGCCAGTACAGTGTGAGATATTCATAAAGAATTTATTGTTACTATTCTATCAATGGAACAATAGCTTCTATTACTATTAACACTTAAGAATCAACTATTACTAGTCCATTACTAACACAAAGTGTTGGTCCCCAATTGTTTATGCTGATACTATGCTGAATATAATACAGCTATGTAAGTACAGCAATCAAATAATTTTGAGGTGTTTATAAAGTAGCTTGGGCTGCATACCCCTTTGTATTCCCAAGGAAAAACAATACACATCTATGTACGGACACCAGCAGAAATGACATCATCTCACAAAACACAGAAAAAAGTACAAAGGAAGTGCCTCTGGACGGTTGTGTATGTCCAAAGGCTGTGGAACTGCAATGTACTCTAGCTCTCTTTAAGCTGACAGTCTGTATTTTGCCACTGTTTCGATTTCTAGCGGAGGAACAGTGGACTCCATTGTTCCAAAAGAAAGAAAAGAAAGAAAATGCAGTGGGAACCAGAGACGCATCCACTGTGAAAGTGCATCAAACAGAATGCTGCAGTGCTGAGATCTCCAAATATAGCCATAACTGCTTAACTATAATCAGGAGAATTAAGACACAGAAAGAGTGAAATGTTAGTCAATAGTAATTGTTGGTCAGAACTCTTCACATTAGTCAAAACAGCTTTGCAGTTCTGACTGAGCTCTTGACACTTGTAATGGACCTGACAAGCAATTTTCAAGAGATTTTCGTGGTTTTCTTCTTCAGAGATCTACATTAAAATTGTGTGGCCTTGAAAAATCATTAGGTCAGTATTACAGGATGAATGAAGGTTACATTCTGGAACGGTTTTTCAAAATAGCTCTAAAAGGACTTCCAAAATAATAACAACAGAATTTAGGGACAGACGGACAAGTAAACAGAGCTATTACTATAACACTCCTACATTTCAGTGTTTCAGTATTCATAACTGGGAGAGGTAAGACCCTGATGGTTTAACATATTTAATGGCCTTAGTAGCTCAGGCTCCAAGCACATTCATGACATTCATGCATTTACAACTGAGCCCTGGCAACACAAAAACATGTCTGGATTTTCTGCCCACATGAAATACACCAGGTCTCAGCTCTAGTATGGGGACATTCTAAACTGTGGTATCATACTCATACCTGGCTTAATTCATTGACTAATTATCAAGCTTTTCATGAGCTGAGTTTGGTGTTAGAGCAGGCAATACCTAATCCAACCTAAAGCCCAGGACTAGTGGTGTGCACTGAAAAAATATGAAGCATTGAATTTACAAAATTCAAAAGTGTTTCATTTTCACACACATAAAACACAACGACAAAATTTTTTCCATTAATTTACTTATTTCTGGTGATAACTGTGTCAATGTAATACACTATATTAGTGTGGAAATGGTGTAGACCAGGGTTCAGCAACATGCGGCTCTTTTACTGCCCTGTTGCGGCTTCACAGCAGAATTAGATATTTAGGTAAAAATAAAATAATCCTTCTTTGCAGTAAAATAAAGCTTTTTAACAATAAATGGTTTTAAACGCTGGAGGTTTATGTATAACTGCTAATTTACCCTTTAACCCTGAAGGTTGGAAGACTGTTGGTCACCATAGCGACACAGACATTTTGCCTAGTAGCTAACGAAAAGGCAAAGAAAATTTGAGACAAACATCGATAATTTGGAGACAAATGGAATTGGAGACGAATTATTTGCATTTATAATCACTCCAGCTGGTTTCCTGATACGTTTAGTCTGCAACAAGAAACTGTCAAACACTAAGTAGTTGTGAAACTGAAGTCAGTTTCTCACTTGCCAGCTTCTTGTTTGAATTTTCATATTTCAGCTTAAATGGTGCAACAGTTAGCTACACAGATAGCTACATTCTGGCGCCTCATGCACCAGGAAAACAAGAACGAGAAGCTGGCAAATGAGAAACTGACCTTAGCTTCGTAAAAAGTCGAATGTTGAGCAACATTTTACAAGAAACTATTCTACTTCTGTGGAAAAGTTTCCTGCTGAAAGAGCAGAGTAAGTCTGTGTTTTCCTTTATGTTATATTTTTTAGCCTATACTAGGACATTAGCACATACTGAGACATGTTTGCAGCCAAGATGGTGAAACGTTCCATCAATAAAATAAACATGAAAAGTTGCGGCTGCCAAAGTGGTTAGATTTTTGTTGAAACTTGACAAAATCGCTCTTGTTTGGGTTGCCGACCCCTGGTGTGTACATTTGAGTAAAGTAAATTCAGTGCATCACTTCATCAGTGTAGACACAAAAGAAAGTGCAGTCAAGCCAGACAGTAAGATAGGATATGAAAAAGAGAGAAATGTAAAAAGGGTCTTACTCTGTGAAACTCGCACAAGTTCAGAGACGGTGAAGACACCTGATGTGACGAAACTATCCTGGAAGCCCAGGTGTCCTAGAAAAACACAGAAATATTATTAATACTGTGTACACTTTCTGTTGGAGCATGGACAGGTGATTTCAGTTCTGGTGTGCCTCAGTGCTTCCTTCTTCTAATGTACCTGTTTCAAAACATCTGCTTATTTTCAAACCTGTCATGAGTTGAACCAGGTGTGTTAAAGTGGGGACATATGACACTGCACTAAAAATAGGAATGCATTGAAATGATCACTTGATTCAAATGTGTACACTATTTATCAGCATAAATAAAATACATTATGTCAACACAAACTAACTGAATTCTGTCCCTCAGTTTACTTATTTTTGGCAATAACTGTGTTGATGTAATCTATTTTAGAAAGCATTTATATATTACTTTATTAAATGTGTGTAGAGGTGTGATCCCCCCAGCACTGGAATTACTTACAAGACATACAAGGCATACAAGAGTTCAATGTAATGTTTTTTTGTATTCCAGGAGTCACAGTGATCTGGCACTTCTAAATACTCGCACCACTTCATGTGTTATACCTTGGTATACTCTATCCTTACACACTTTCAGAAAGGTTCTGTGCAGGTACATTTTCCGTCCATCAAGCTACAATGTAAATGTTCCCTCAAAGGTACAACAGTGGCTTTAAGGTCCAGTTGTGCACCTTAAATAAGTTTTTCCTGGTGGAAAAGTACATATTTGTACCTTTTCATAACCTAATGTTTTAAAACAGAACAATAAAATTAATAAATAAAGCCTGGAGACGAGACGGGTGTGTGGAGTCAGTACAACTTAGAAAACAGAATTTCAGTGGATTATGGTACAGTTATGTTCCCTGACTAAAGGTATTGAGATGTACCATTGAGGGTACCAACCCAGTGACAGTTACTACCTTTATTTCTGAGAGTGTACTCTATTCCAGGGATAGACAGATATTAAAATTTTGCACTGGCCACTCAGGCCACTAAGCCAATTAATCTTGTGGCCACAATAATAGAAACATGTTTATCAGATATACATTGTATATATAATTAAGAAACACACTTCAGTACCAAAACAGGTAGGTGTGGCTCTGAAAAAAGGAAATATTTATGTCAATAAGAACATGGATGGTGTGGAACAGCATCTGTGATGGCAGGCGAATCAGCTTAGCCAGGGGCACAGGGCAATAGGCAACGTCTACCCCTGTTTGATGTTAATTATGGGTGAGTGATACGGCAAAAATCTAACAACACTATTTAGTCATCCTAAGTCTTGTGTTTTGGTTTTTTTCATGATACATGGAGTTGTTCAGTGTTCTGGAAGTACTAATGATACTCACAGTACACTCAGAAAAGCTTTCTGTGATGTAATTTATAACACACACCATCATACTGTCCCCCCTTAATATCAAATCAATGTATTTCATCACTAATCTTGACAAATCTCACAAGCATACATATGCACATGCATACATATATACATATGCAGTGTCTCCTAGTAGAGTGCAGGGAGTGTTTAGGTTGACATCAAGGGCAGAGCACATCTGGAGTGGATCCTCTAAGTGTAGGACAGTCTCTCAGTACACACACACAAGCACACACTACACAAATAGAATTACTTTTTCTAAAGAGGCCCTGAGAAGGGGCAGTGTGAGGAGAGCAAGGGCCTGTGTGTAAACTGTGTGTGTGCGTATGTATGTGTGTGTGTGTGTGTGTGTGTGTGTGTGTGTGTGTGTGTGTGTGATGAGCAGTTGTGATGGCTCTCAGTAAAGCCCACTCTCTGAGCGGCAATGTGAGCTCAGTGGCCCCAATTACTGTGTGTATTGATTAGAGAGCAGCTGACCCACAGCCCGTTTACTGTTGTCCACTGCCTTATTACAGCCACTGCCACTGACCACTGAAGCATTCCTCAACACACTCCATACATACACACCTTTGGGTGCAGGCCACTGAAGCATCCTTCAACATCCTCGCACACTTCACACACAGACCATTCACACTATGCCAAACCACTCACAGTCTTCAAGTCGCGTGACACAGACTCTCTGCCTGAACTGCGTCCAGTATGAAACCTAAGAGAGCTGCTCTGCATGGTAGCATAATTCATACACCATGAAATAAGGCAGGTAATTCCTCACCACATCTGTCTTTATTTGATTCAGTAGAACAGTGATTTCCTACTTCTGAACTACTTTGATTCTCCCTGCTCTACAACACACCTCAACCAAATTACCAGGTAATGAACCTTCTGAAGTTGATATATATATAAGTTAAACTCTGGGTTTTATTGATATGTTGACAGTAGCACAGCCCAAAGTAGAAAATAATCAAATGACAATCAAAATCATAAGGTACAAGGGTGAGCTTTATCTGTCTGTTATCATCTTATCATCACAAATAACACATGGTTCACTTATGGAAGTAACTACATATTCAATTTCACAGTCAGTTATGTACTGAATTGCATTTATATTAAGTTTACATTCTGTATCGACAGGTCTAAATCTGTACTTTGCACTATTTCTGTATAGTTTCTACCTAAAAATCAGGAAATTCAACAGAATGAGCAGCAAGTAAGAAATAAATCATGTCAGTTGTAATTACTAGCAATAACTATAACTTCTAAGGGTTAACAAGTGTTTCCTGAGTTGAAGTGAGTGTGTTATAACTGGGGAAACACTAAAATGTGTAGTGCAAGAATATTCCAGGACCATGGTTGAGAACCAGAAGAAAATGCACTAAAAGAAAAGGCATGACAGATATAATCAGTTGCCGAAATTTCATATGTGCAGTACAGTCACCTGAGGATCACCTACATGTGGGCTGAGCCAAAGCAAACTTCAGCTCCTCACTGTTCAAGGAGAATCACACCAGTCCTGTTTTAACTGAAGTTAGATGATTTGATCTCACATTCACTCACACCTTGTTTCCAAGTAAAGCACTGAGGTTCACATGGTCTGTATTTGTGGACGAAAGTGCTTCTTCCCAATTGTTTTCAATATGCAAGATGTTGCTGGGTTTTTTTTGAGCACTGTGTGCCTTGTGTTTTATGCACATTCTGCCTTGCGTTTTATGCACACTGTGCAGCTGTCTTTTTGTGCAAAGCCCTAGGTGACTAAAGTTGAAAATGTGGAACTCAAAGTGATCAAGCAGTGCACCTCACGTTTTTCTGCCTTCAGAAAAATTGAGCAATGTAAAACCACCCTAATGGGTCAGGCCACATTTTTCTCAAATGTAAAACTGACAAATAATCAGGGCAAACTATGCTGTACCAACAATGCTCAAAAATAATGGTGATGAAAAGTTTGATATATGAGTCTTTCAGTTTAATAACTGAAGAAAGGCAAAAGAATATGTTTTCTCTCAGTTTTAGCCTTCAATCTCGCTAAAATCAACTGAAGAAGTTTCTCTGCTCTGACTGAGCTTTTATTCTTTAGCAGCAGAGAGAAGATGACAAGAGGAATCTTGAGAAGTGGTGATGTTATTATTAAACATCTCTCTGTGCTGTTCAGTGGTGAAGTCATAAAAACCTCAAGATAGGAAAAAGTTTAGCCATGACGGGTCCAATATGGAGATGTATAACATGTGGATGGGGGGAATTATAAATAAAAAAGGAAAGGGTGAAGCGCACGGGGAGGGATATGTACGGCTCATTGGGAGAGAAAGTGCTGACATTAGCTCAAAGCCTCTGGGCCCGGAGAGCATTCCTGCACTGATGCTCCGGAGATTGGAAGGGGGGGGGTTCCAAGAGTGAAGGGGAGAATGATGTATGTGATGGGGTAAAGGCAAGAGCAGGACAGATTAAAAATGTGGAAGAGGCAGGGGGGGGGGAGAAAGAGAGAGAGAGAAAGAGAGAGAGTCAAAGTTTCCGTGCAGCTGTACATACTGTAACAACAATAACACAGAGCAGAATTGAGGCGCACAATTACTTGGAAAACGAGGGAATGACGCAATTGAGCTGAGAACACAGGGGGAGAGGGGGATAGAGAGAGAAGAGAGAGAGAGAGGAAAGAAGTAAGAAAAAGAAGTAGAGAGAGAGAAGAGAGCAAACAGAGAGAGAGTGAGAGTGAGAGACAGTGAGAGAGAGAGAGAGAGAGAGAGAGAGAGAGAGAGAGAGAGAGAGAGTGAGTGCTTTCGTCACTGGAATTCCAGTATATGGAGCATATGCACTGTGGAGTTCACTGAGGGCATTTCCATGAGTGGCTCATATAGGGAAGGGGCCGGGCCTCTATATCTCAACATGGATAATCACTCCCAGCTGTGTCCACTGTAGCGCTGCACACACACATGAGGAGGGGCCAGGGTTTGTCTTTCACAGCAGCTCTGAGACCTAAACAACACACTCACACAGCAACGGCCTGACTCCAGCACAGACACACCAGCTAAGACACAAACACAGTGCAAGGCCATGCTGGGAAACATACAGTACTGTGCAAAAGTCAGAAACCACCCTTAATTTACTTTCCAAACAAAATGGCCATTATGTACAATCTATTTATTTTCAGGAGATATTTCTGAGGAGATTAGATATAAAATAATCTAACACAAGTTTACTAAAAGACATAGACATAAAAGAGACTCCTGAAAACTATGCAAGAGCTGGTAGACCACCAAAACTGTCGCCATCAGATTAACAGTACTTAAAGCTTTCGTTCTTAAAAGAGTGGAGAAAATCAAGCTCCACTCTTGCCTCGGATTTGAACAAATCCACAGATGTGGCAGTCAAATAGCTATTAGCATAATTTTGCAAATCAAACAACGAAGCTGCTGGTGTTCCCAGAACAACGGACTGGCCACCAGAGTCCAGACCTAAACATCACTAAATGTGTTTGGTATGGATTTACTTTTATCATGAGAAGCAGAAAATGCAACCAACGTCTAAGACTGAACTTTGAAGGTGTGGAAAAATATCTCTGCAGATTTCATTGAAAAAATTAAAGCAAGCATCTTGAACAGAAGCTAAGCTGTAATAAAGGCAAAGGGTGGACACGCTACATACTTACAGAATTGATATTACATTTAGTTGTTATTTTAAGTGTATTTGTTTTGCTGAAAAATTGAACTCAGTGTACTTCATGGTCATAGCTACATCTCTGATACATGCACACACAGTGCTCAAGTGGACAGAGGCTGTTCCACTTGTGGGTTCCTTTGGGTTTAAAAGACTGTAATCTTTCTCTTCTACTTGCTTACTCTGCCTCTGTATTCTCTCTCTCTCTCCTTCTCTCTCTCTCTCTCTCTCTCTCTCTCTCTTTCTCCCTCTCTCTCACATTCGGGTGTAAGAGAGAGGATATCCTTTGGCCTTATCTGCTGGCCTGTGGATTGTGCAACATGCCGCCCCTGACCCAGAAATTCACCCGTCTGCTTTGTGAAAGTGCACGTAGCATGGAGCATGAGGGTCAAGGTTTAGCAAAATAAAAAAAAAAAACAGCCATTAAAAAATGTGAGTCATGCTTTCCTGGTTAGGGACGAGAGATATAGAGACACTAACCTAGAAAGAGAGAGAGAGAAACACCATTCTAATGGCTAAGGTCACCTGCAGGTCATAGTCTGTAGCTATCCTGTCAGACTTGACACAATTGCTCACAATAAGGCTGCAAAAGAAACCATCATGTCACTTATATTATTTCATTGTATTTATCATTTATTTGGTTTATTATTCATTTTATTTACATTTATATTTAATATAATTTAACAATTTAATTATTATTGACTTATTTTTATGTAAACTCAATTTCTATTATCTATTATCTAACTATTTTCCTGTATGGTCTTAAAGTGTGTCATTTAATTTTCTTATTATTTCATCAATTGGCCTTTTTGATGATTTATTCTGTTTTGGTTAATTAATTTTGATTCTGTTAATAAGAACTTTGGTGAGTTTTGTTGTTTTTAAATGTGCTCCATAAATAAACTTGACTTAACTTCCTGTACAGAGTTACAGTATAATTAAATTTACACTTTGCTTCATTTACAATAGTTGGTTATGGTAGAAGACATCTAATCTGAGACCAGTTTTATGCCTTTTCTTTACAGTAGCTCTAATCAAAATGTGGCTGAGGAAACTAGTTGGTAACCAGCCCTAAACACCAGCTCTCTGGCGCAGTTTGTGTACTGCTCTCAGCTGTGTGGTTTTTAAGACTGGTAGGTGCTGCTGGATTGGTGAAAGACAGATGCTGTGTAATCCAGATTGGGACTGACTGGTCAAGAGCGGCCATAATCTGAGCTCCACAGCACACAGTGGCAGGCAGCAGATGGAATAAATTTGTATGTAAGAGGGGAAATCTAATAAATAAAGAAGTAAGTAAATAAATAAATAAAAATTGCAGCATTTAGTCAGGGATTATATGACTTTGAGTTTACCAACACTGAGAAAGAGGGAGTGAGAGATAGCAAGAGAGAGATAGATGAAGAGATGAGATCATCTACATATGGGATGAGGGAGCTGAACATGCGACTCATCTGTGTGTATCCTCTAATCTGAGTAAACAATGGTGCGAGATGCGTTGGGCTGACACACACAAGGGCACGGAAACAGCAGTGCACACACATCACCCGGCATATCTGCAATAATCTTCAAGCGAGTGGGGAAATATGCTTTATAATCCAGTACTGGGAGACACGTGCAGCTGAGAACTTTCGGGTCACAGTAGGATAAGCTTTCTCATCCTTCTCTCTGCTTTAGTTAACAGAGCCAGACTGCAACAATAGACTACAAACAGTTACAGTACAATACAATACAATGCAGCTGAGTCAGGCTGTAACAATGCAAGTGACTCTGACTGCAACAGTGCACCTGACTTGAGTTATAACAATGCAACAGAGTCTGGCTATAACAATGCAACTGAGTCAGATTGTTAATGCAACTGAGTCAGGCTGTAAACGCAACTGAGTCAGGTGGTAACAATGCAACTGAGTCAGGCTATAACAATGTAGCTGAGTCAGACTGTAAATGCAACTGAGTCAGGCTGTAACAATGTAACTGTGTCAGGCTGTAAATGCAACTGCACCAAGCTATAACAATGCAAGTAAGTCAAACTGTAACAATGCAACTGAATCAGACTGTTAATGTGCTATTCAGTCAGACTGTAATTAAGTAACTGAGTCAGACTGTAATGATGCAATTGAGTCAGACTGTAACAAACTGACTGTAGATTGTAATGGAGTTATGCTATAAAAACGCAACTAAGTTAGACTGTAATTAAGTAACTGAGTCAGACTGCAACAATGTACCCGAGTCAGACTGTAACAAAGAGACTGAGCTCAGGCTGTAACAACCCAAATGAGTCAGACTGCAATAGTAAAACTGAGATAGACTGCTCATTTGCCTCTGATGGCAGGTTGTCTTTAAAAGTAATTCAGAATTGTGCCAAAATAATCATACTGAGGTTAGTCTGAAAAGGGCAATCACTGAAGTGTGCAGCGCTGTAACTGTGGTCATCCAGGACTGAAGTTTGTGGACACTGATGTAACGGTTGCAGGCCTTTGCAGTGAACCAGGCTCATAGGCTGTCTCCCGTTTAGCTCTCCTGACCGAGTTAAAAGCTAAAAGTCTTCCTCTGTGGTGACGTTAAGCCAGTGGCTGGCCAATCACTGTACACTAAATATAGGCAGACACACACACACACACACACACACACACATGCTCCCCCTGGACACAATCCTCTTAAGAATAATCACCTCCCTCTGGCTTACATGCACTGAGTGTTCACACAGCTTTGGAGCTTTGGGTGAAGAGGCCACACAGCCTGAACTTCCACTCTAAAAAGCCTTAGCAGCATTTACAAGAAGTCTAACCCCACTTTACATTTATCGGCTTGGCACAATCAAAAGTCATAAGGACAGTTACTGATAAATGTCCCAAGCCGTTTTGTGTGTGTATGTGAATTATGCACCATAATAAGTTTTTCATAATGTAATTTTCACTTGCGTTTTCACCACATGAAAAAATCGGACTGAACTGAAGTTCTGATAAAGCACATGCAGTAAAATGGAGGCAGAGCAGCTCACCGTTTTCTGGCTGGTCCTTAATGTCTCCCTCACTGGGCTGGTTTGGACTTTCAGACTGCGTTGCTTCTGTACAGAAAGAAGGGACAGAGAACATGAATTAAACAATGAAAATTCAGTCCTTAAACAGTCACTTTAATGTTTTGAATTTGCGACTTTATAGGAACAGACTTCCCACAGAACATTCCCACATCCTAAATCACACAGCAAAGCTCAACTTAAAAGTTGTTCCACACAGCCTGCAGGCAGGATGACATACTGCCCAGTACAGTGTAGTCTACAGCACTGGAGCACTGCAATATACTCTCTGTTTCTGTCTCTCTTATACCCACAGTACACTGCCAATATCATACAGCAGACCAGGCCACAGCACACATACACTATATGGACAAAAGTTTCGGGACACACCTCTTAATCATTGAACACAGGTGTTTTATTCAGTCCCACTGCCACACATAAAATCAAGCACATAGCGATGCAGTTTGTCTTCACAAAAGTTTGTGAAAGAATGGCTCGTTCTAAAGAGCTCAATGAATTTTACTATGGTACTGTAATAGGATGCCACAGTTGCAACAAGTCAGTTCGCGAAATGTCTTCCTGCCTATGGTATTATTGAAAAGTGAAACGCTGAAACGCTCTGCTGACTCAATAACTGCAGAGCTTCAAACCTCCTCTTACATTAACATCAGCCCAAAACTGTGCACAGGGAGCTTCATAGCATGGGTTTCCATGGCCGAGCAGCTGCATGGAAGCCAAGCACAATGCCAAGTGTTGAACTGAGAAGTGTAAAGTACATCGCCATTGGACTCCGGAGCAGTGGAAATGTATTCTGTGGAGTGACAAATCACGCTTCTCTATCTGGCAGTCTGATGGATGAGTCTGGGTTTGGCGAATGTCAGGAGAACGTTACCTGCCTGACTGCATTGTGCCAGCTGTAAAGTTTGGTGGAGGAGGGCTAATGCTATGAGCTATTACTTTCGTTTTGCTATATTTTTTAAATGCAATTGTAGATTTACATATTTAACAGCAATGGGAGTTATGGAATTAATTACACTTCCATTTTATTTTTATTCTGTACTGAAAATTTTAAACCTGCGTTGCGTTTAATTTCAATGTCAAGCTTTCCGCAGAACAAAGCTATTTGTCAAATGATAGTTTTTCATTAAACTTAAATCATAATAAAATATCTCCTCTTTTACTTACAAACACAAACATGGTATGTATTGAATATTAGAATATGCATTTTGAGAGTATTTCTCTGCATGTTTCAATGAGCTATGAATGAGAAATGATTAATATTAAATTATGTTATGCATTTGTTATTACCATTGATAATGGCTATGTACACTGCATATATGATTTACTCAATTCCACAGTGAAGCTGTACCGAAATCAGACATAAGCATATGTCTGCTGTTCCACTCTGGGCGTTCTTTCTGGCTTTTTTAAAGAGATTTATATTTTGTGAATAAATGTCTCACCATATTGGACACACAAGCAAGTCAAACAGCGTTAGTCAGTGATCGGAGTCTAGCCGCTGTCCTGTTGGCAAGAGCCACTTCAAGTTGAAGCCAGGAGAGAGAGAGCGAGAGAGAGAGAGAGAGAGAGAGAGAGAGACAGAGAGAGAGCAGGAGAGTGGTGGGTGATCTACTGGCAGTCGCAGCACTTATGGAAATAAGCCTGGATGGAGAACCCTCCAGACCTGGATGTGCTGCATCTCTCGTAAAAAAAGCCCTATAAATTTGATGGGAGAAATTTCTCCCAACAAGTGCTGGTTAACAGCACCATTAGCTGCAACGGCAATGATAAGCAAAGAGACATTACAGGGATTTTCTCAAGATCCAGCACAGTCTCAATGCTGTCTGTTTAATGGTTTTTACTGCAGCCAAAACACCATACCACCCCCTCTCCCCGTGCATGATTTAGATGCAGGGGTGAGTATTGATCTCACACTGCGGATAAAATTGTCCGTGGGAGAGAAATATTACAGATATCCACTCAAAGCAAGCGGTCTGCAGTGACTCAGGGTGTAGGGGCTCATCAGAGAAGGAGCTGGCGAAAGTGCGAAGAGAATCTGATTCATTGCTACCACAAAATACTACAAAAAAAGTATAAAAATAGCAACTTTTAAAAAGTCAGACTTTTTATTTTTAGGACAAAACTAAAAAAGTTCTAGGATAAACTGACAAATAAAAATACAGTACTGTGCAAAAGTTTCAGGCACCTCAGAAAATTACTTTTAAAATAATTTAAAATTAACCATTTCCAAACTTCTCCTTGAGGAAGCTGAGTATCATTTGTAGTTATTATCCAATTCCTTATTTTGGCTAATTAATTCTTCATTATGTTATATTAGGCATGGTTGTGATGGAATTTAACAAATCAATGCGATAATTGGAGGAATACAGGAGAAATATGGCACCAAACCTATGTTCTGATAACCAGCTCTTATCAATGACCTTTTTGAAAAAAATAAAATCTTGTTACTTTTTAGTGTGTTAATGTTTGTTTGCATTTATTCTAATGCTGGTATTTTTACAGGGAAAACACTCATACTGTTAAGATAAATGGTTTAAACAAGACTTTCACACAGTACTGTATGCTCTTTACTTCGAGAATCGTGTTCCCGAAAACCACCATAAAAGCCTATTTCACAAAATTTTCTGCAAGACATTCAATGGCCCCATTATCCACAAATCAATGACACAGAATCACCGAAAAGAAAAGGCACCAATAGACGTGATTTTAAAAACACAAGTGATTTTTTGAACACAAAGAAGGAAAGGTTGCTAAAGTGAACAAAAAGTGTAGCATAAGAACAGACGTCCTTAAAAAAAAGAAAAAAAAGTAGTGGGAGGGAAAGAAAAGTTTGGCCATCTCTTCCATCTTTTCCTAGACAAAGTAAACAATTTAGGGACTTGTTTGCATTCAGCACGGCGCTGCCGTCTGCATCAACAGCTTAAAACAAAGGCAATCTGGAGAGCGAAGCAAACGCACAAAAAAGTCGCCGTCCCCCCAGCAACAGCCCAGAGATACGTGAAAGCAGCGAGGTGGAGGCGAGGGGGCAGGGGCCGTCCACTGGGTGTGTGCGCGCACGGGGCTACTTTCACACAGTCTCTCCGGCTGCCCTCCGCAAACCAAGTGCTCTCACACACCGAACCCATCGCTAATTAAAAATGCAAATGAGGCGTGAGACCCAGACTCAGTGTGTCACATCTGCATTTACCCCCCGTCGAGGGCCCTCTGAGAGACCGAGAGAGTGAAAAAAAACATCCCGCTTGAAATAAACATAAAAAAGACACTAAACAACAAACGACTAAATAGATGCACAAACAGGCCTGTTCACGGTGCCTGGACCTCCCCCACACCCCCACCTATACAAGTGCATAACAAGCCACTCTTTCTGTTCCAGAATGAAAGACAGAGGAGGGATAGTCCCTGTCTATTTCTAATTTTGTTCTCACACTGGAGCTAAAGAGGAGGAGGACACAACCCGGGTGTGGGAGAAGAAAAGGAAAACCTGGAATAAGCTCATTTGAGACTCCAAGTGTTATTCTGCATGGTTCATTATTGGGCATGAGCGCAGGGGATGAGGCTCAAATTGAACACACAATGTAACACCATCAGAAAGTACCTGCCACCAGTTTGCTGGGTGACATTACAACTGTAAAGTTTTCCTAAGTGACCCATTTCTAACATTTACATTACCGTTCAAAAGTATGAAATCATTGTTTTTAAAAATATAAAACTAATTCTGTTGCAGATACTTGTTTGGAGCTGTAGATGATTCCATAATAGAGAAAGTTGTATAACTTTAAGAATGAACCGTGAGTATGTCTTGCTGATCAAATAGCTATTTATAGTTACTTTGTGTCATTAAATTACTAGGAATGGGTACTTGCAGTTTTTGGCATGTCAAAGTCTTGCGGTTCTCCATAACACTCTAAATTGAATAAACCATTAATTTACACTTAGGTAACACGTTTATTACATCAATCTACACTGTATAAGTTATTACTGGATAAGAAACTGTTATATGAGAAATTATTCCAAACTTGAAAGGTAATGTGTATGCACATATGTAGTTATATATTACATATTTGTATTATGCGTAAATGTTATAACTGTCAATGGTAACTTCACAAACTTATGACTAGTGGTGCACCCATCTGATATACTGCATCTGTTTTGGCTCCAATACTAACCTACATAAATGGACCAGATATCAGTCACTGATCCACATTTTTTAGCCATGGTGATTATAAAATTGTAATAGAGTAATCACAAAAGTAGGTAAATATAGCACAAGGACTCTTGTCCAGTGATTCTTATGCATGTAAAAATTATGTTCCTAACTGCATGGTGAATCAAAATTTAGCTTTTTCACGAAGCAGTGATTGTGTAATCCACCATGCTATCCAATTCTCTGCCAATACCCAGCTTCTCAGCCCTGGCACTGACTGGTGTGTGGAGTTTATGTCTTTCTGTTGCCTCTAAAATCTAACCCAGCCCCATCCCAATCTCAGCAACAAGCTCCTCACCAGAGAACAGGCCCCGCGCACCAGCGTGTGAGTGTGGTACGGATATGATGTCTTGGTGCTTGCTGAATTAGTCAACGGGTTGATTCCCTAATTAGATCATTAGGGCTGCTGCCGGCAGGCTGGGTTGGAGGAGTGTTATAGCCCCTGGCTTGCTGCTCTCAGACCCCCTGTCTCTCTCAGCCTCCGAGGCCAGGCTGAGGGGGTTTGGAGGGGGGGTGGTTAGTGTGTGTGCACACACACAGCCTGGCCTGTTTGATTATGCATGCACTAAACCATCTGTACCTCTCACAGGTCCTCTGCCTCAGTCCGTTGCGTTCTCACCAAGTGCTTCGCTGTAATCCAATTGTGTGTTAAAACCCTACTTTCAAAAGGCCTTTTACGCAGCGGCCTCAGGAACACGCAGCCCAATAAAAGGAGGCAGAAACTTAATTTAGAAATACAAACGGCCCTTTCTGGCCTATCAATGGAAGGTGAAGCTCCAGGGATTGGAGCATTGTTTTCACAAGTATCGTCGCTTGGATTTTTTTT